AAATTTACCGACACTTGCTCATTTCAACTTGGGGAAGTCTATGGAGCTCAGGAAGTTCACTGGGGTCCTTCACAATACTAGGCTCTGTGTGTCACTGGGATATCCACGAGTTCTACTTAAATACCCGTCTTTCACCCCTCTTCGCCCCTTAGGAGAATGATTTTCCGAACGGTGGTGACTTAACCTATAGTATATTGCTCACCTAGGGAGGAAAAGTAGACAAGTTCTTCCCACGTGCAAAATTACCAGCCGAGCCGAAGGCGAGGGTGGTATGCACGTGGGAAATGCTTGTCTGATTATCCTCCCGAGAGTTGCATACCATTTTTCTGTCGATATGCGGCGAAAGTGACGTTTCTAACCGAACGAAGTGAGGTTAGAATGCTCACTTTCGGCGCATGTATGCAGAAAATATTATTATTAGTCACAATTTTAATACCACAAATACAGTTTATCAGATACATGCCAAATATATATGAGCACCGATATATTATTATACGGGTCATATATGAAATAGAGATTTGATCAAAATTGCTGTATGCTGCATGTATGTCACATATAATGATTTGCATATGGAGAATTTCACGTGAACTCAACGTGGTCAAAACCCTCATCGTTCATGATTTGATTCATTGCAGATTTTATTTGTAGCTGCACATGAATTAAGATGAATTTCAAAATCGTTTCGGATTTGAAAATGTTGAACTCTTGCAATGGCTGCTGTTTATTTTACGTTTTGTCTTAAACTGCTAGTAACTGTGGTAGAAATCATCTAAACTCAATTTTTTGAAATATGCCTTCGCGAACACGCTTTTCATAAAAAATAGAGAATTTTTTTCCATACATCTAGTAATTTCTGTAAAAAAAACTCGAAAATAGACACGTTTAGCAGGTTGATGAAAAAAATTCAGTCAATATATTAGATAAGAAAAGTTTGTCCAAACGGCCAAAGTGGTAAGCTGATTGGAAGGCTTTCATTATTAATTTGAATATATGGACGAATTCATGATGAAAAATTACAAAACCTTGGAAATTTCAATTGTTAGTTTCTCATCGAAAAATGTTCCTCAATTAATAGATTCACATGTCTCCTTTGTCTATTATACTTCCCTTCATACAATTTTCAAGTTCTAAATCAATCTGTACTCTACAATTTCGATGATGGACCGATATTTTTCAATCCTCTAACCAGAATAATTCCTTGTATGATTAATCATTTGAAGACAATTCTGTAACAATAGTTCCCCGGAATGTTAAGTTCCAATGAGATTGTCATTTTGGCTTTTGATGAAATTTTGTTTTGGCTAATATATTCACTCAATTTATTGAAAAATGATCCAACCCTGAAAGCGACTATATTTTTTGGGTTTTTACGAAGAAATCAATGGAGGAATAGAAAATCGACAATATCACTGGCAATGGGCACGGTTTTGTCCACTTTGAGTTTACGTGGAATTTCTCATATATTTTCTTTCGCTATGGTTATTATCTCTTAGTATCAATGGTATTTACTCCCCAATAGAGACATTCCAGTGGGTCGATTTTTACATTGTCTAATTTTGCTGGGAAATGATATAGAATGGTCGGAAGTATAAAAATACGAAGTTTCGGCACCATATGTGCATGAAGTAGTAGCAGCCGTCACTTTTACCCAAAATTCACAAGTAACCGGGAGAATTCATCTACAAGAATTGGAAACTGACTTTTGCTGCCGGGCTACCGGGACCGGTCCAATATAGACGGAGAAAAAATTCAATGACTTTTTGCTACAGACGTTGGGGAAAAATTACTGTGCTCATCGGGAAACGGGGTGCAAAGCACACGCACGAGAAAAAGTCATGCCCTTAACCCTAATTTTTACCAAGCGAGATAAAAAAAAGTCATGTCCTTAACCTTAATTTTCACCAAGCGAGATACAGGAAAACTGTATCACTGGAAGAAAAATTACTGTGCTCGTGTCATAAAATTTCTTTATCGACCGAATAAAAATTATACCTTTCCGCTCGAATTTTTAAATTGGCCGTAGAGAATAATAATACTTTTATTTTTCGATGTATGGCCCAGGGCCTTTTACAGACCGTAGAGAATAATTATTTCCCAATAAAACAAACTCTTTGAGTAATTGATCGTATTAACGGAGAGGAAGAGAAGGGAATATCCACCAAAAGACATATTATTTTTTTAAAAAGTAAAATTTATTAAATTCTTTTCATAACCACTTTTTAATTATAAATTTTGCACCATTAGATGCGTGAACTAAATTTGTTATGACACCGCTATATACATGACTTAAATGTAAAATCGCCCATGAGTAAGCCTCTTGGTTCTGTGCGAAGCAATCATGATGTTCATCCAAGTAAATACCTTCCAGGGTTTTAACAATAAAGAAAATTTCGTCTGGATTTTGGACAAGAATTGTATCTACTTATGATTGCACCGACTTCCACTTTCGTCCCTTCAACGTCGATTTTTCGGAGAGTATGGACTTTTCCTTCCGAAGAGGGAAAAATAGATAAAAATAAATTAAAAATCTAAAGAGTAACGAAAAACATAATATCTGAATTTTTTCTACTTTATGTACATTTCCTCTAATTTCTGGCCTTTGTAAGTGTCGCATTGCGGCATTCTAAATTAAAAGAATACAATAAAATAGTCAATTTTGCCATAAAAGCTAAAAGAAAGGATCAAAAGGTAAATGCATATGGAAACTCGTGACTTCGCCCCGAAAAAAAATGCAGAAAGTTCGGTTACAACTTACCATTTTGCTGAAGAGTGGAAAAGATGCAAAGGGTTAATTTCCATAATAACCGTAACCGATAAATCACATTGCATTATAGGCTAATACTAGTAAAGGAATCAATGTGACGTTAATAGGGGTTAATTTCGTGGAAGAAAAACGAAAAAATGCAGAAAAAACAGGTTATTTGAATGGGAAAATTTTGCCAGACAGACTCATTTAAACTCAAATAAAAAAAAACAGAAAAAAACCCCAACCGACATCATGCAATTGGATCTGTACCTTATAATTTTTCCATTAAAAACTAATTGATTTCAATACTTACCCAATTTTAATTGATTCTTCTTATAAAGTTGCACTTTTATATTTCACAAAAGAGTTAACTAAACGTGTGTAAAAAGTAAAAGTCTAAGAGGTTTGGCGGTATATCTTAAGCACTTCAGCCCAAGTAAAATGTCCTTATAAGACGAAGCCGTCTTCTTTGTTTTCTACGTTTGACAACGTCCGGAAGTAATCGGTGGGCATCTGCAATTGTTTCATCCCAAACCAGAGGGATGTCGTGAATATTCATAGGGAGCACAGTAAAAATCTCGCAGCAGCAAAGAGGCGTGTGGCAATTTTCACAGTATTGGATCATATTATGTTAATCATTTTTTCTTTGCGTTCGCAGTAATGCCTCTTAACCTCAGAATTTTTACTGTGCTGCATAGGAAAATTCACTGATGAAAATGTCAAAAAATCGTCAATTTCCTGTAAATGAGCATTGTGTACTTAAATATTATTCTTAGCCTCATCGATAAATTTTCCGAATAAAACATTTTGCACTTCGATTCCCGTGCCGAGCACAGTAAATTTTCTGGAATTTCTTTCTCAGTGTAGTTTCTGGAAAAAAGCCACTTCTTTATTCACAGTTTTTCGGAAATATCTCGACAAGTACGAAGCTGATTGACTTTCGTGATTTTCAAAATGTTCGCTTGAATGCTCTCTATCTCAAAGAATCAAAATGAAGCATTCCTCGTCGAGTGAGTCGCCTATTGTCTTCATGTTTACAAAATTGTATCGAGTATATCAGCTTCTATTTTCTTTTGAGAATGTTTAAATTTTTATTTCATTTTCAATAATAACAGGAGCCTGTGTATAACACAAATCACTGATTTTTCAATTTTTTTTCACTCATAAGTGATTTCTGTGAGAAAAATAATTGTATACGAGACCGAACGCGCGCTCCGCGCACCGTTTGATTCCGTGGTGTTGATGATGACGTAGCCAATTGACCAATGAGAAATAGGGTTACAAGTGAAAAGTCTTACGCATGAAGTTAGCCAATCTTACTCTCGCCCAACTTAATTTTGGTGTATCACCTTTTATAGATAGGAAATATACCAAAAATGTTTTCTTTTTGCCTCAGCTTTTCAAAACAAATATATTTTTATTTTCGTCAATACAAATATGCCATGAAAATGCAAAAAAATTCATCAGAACGTAAACCCGTATATTTCGATGCGATTGTGGGAAAATGTTTTTTCATCACACTACACTTTTTAGGCGTTTCCAAAAGTGTCATAAATCGCTTAGTCGACACATTGCGATAAAAAATATTGTTCGATGCATGTGCAGCAAATGGTTCATTAGCCAGTAGGGTTAAATCACTCACTTGCGGCGTACTAGTAAACGAAAAAAACACAGTTCGTCACTCACCGAACGTAAAGTATAGGTAAGGTAAGGTCAAACAATATTGTTGGACACATGTGAGCCGGGCTCGGCTTCGCCTCGGATCGCCACACTCGTGAGAATTCCTTCTCAATCGTATCGAAATATACTAGTTCGTCACTCGTGCAGAAAGTTGTTTTTTGCATTTGCGATTGTATCACTTTGGTTGTTGTTATAAAGCGCCCACACGCCACAAATCACTTTCCGCACTTGTTATGAAATATACGATTATGTCATTACGGCCGATAAAATGCGTATGTAACCCTGCTTCGCTCGGTTACAATGCCCCGAGTCTAACAAATACTTACCCCTGAGTATTGAACACCCTTTCTCACCGCGATGTGGGGGGAGTAGGCTTTCCTGTATGAGTTTTGATCATTGGCCCTTTTTAATTTTTATGAAAATATGTAAGGATAGTCCTTTTGTAGAGAAAATATCAAAAAGTGTTAGTTAGCTTCTCATGGATTCAACCCCGACAGACATTTCTTGACATCGAGATTAAGGGCTGAAAACGGAGGAACTCCTTGATGGTTACTAAAATTAATAAATCGCTCACCAAATCCCTCGCATCTCGTCATTTTAACCTTGATATATTCATACTGTAATGGCGTACCAGTTGTAAGTATTTTTCTGTTATTTTAGAATATTTTTTCTTTTCGTTGAGTTGTCTGTTTTTTATACAGCAGTCCCTTAAAGGACGGACTAATGTGGATAGCATAAAAATTCAGGTAGCCCGTGAACAGTGCTTCTTCTGTGAATGGAGTTGGAGTGGGGGCGGCACTCTGGAATGCTATTCAAAATCCCAACGGGGTGTTCCATATCTTATCCCTCTGCTCGGCAAAAACGTCTGAGGAGATGCTCTAGACTATTAGTTCACAGTGAACAGTCATTCTGTAAACATCATCCGAAATTTTAGGAACGAAATTCCAAATTTCGAAAATCAAATCCACGCCAGAAAAGAACCTGTAACCTTTGTGTTCCATGATCGTTCAGCAAGTCATGCGAATATTGCTTATCATTCTCTTTTCTTTAATTACAATGGGATTGGCGGGCCCATCAATTAAAATACCAGAAGATGTCGCAGTTAAGAATCTAAATGGCCAAAATGTGGTGCCGCCAACGTCACTACCATATAAAAACTGGACCGATTACCATAGTGCTCCACAATTAGTCTTCCCAACGTGCACGAGCGCTGTTAATCCGAAGGGTCTACGGAATATCGTCATCAATGGTATGGCGTGCACATGTGATCTCAATACCTATCATGTGCGCAAAAGAGATGATTATCATTATACAGTGGGCATCGGGGCGCATAAGTTTCATCTTACAGGCGCTACGTTCAATAAAGCAAGAAAAATTTGTATTGAGGAGGGAGGACATTTGGCAGTCATTGATTCGATTGCAGAAGAACAGGTAAATATTTTAATCTGACAGTAAAAAGATCAAACAAATCATGGTAAATCAATCATTTTATTGAATGGGCGATGCCTTGAAAATGAATCACTTAGAAGTAAATTCCAGCAACAGATTTTCATAATTTTTCAAGAAAGTTTGACTGAAAAAATAGAAATTAAGACTTATTTCGTGTGACGTTTGTGAGTTCTACCCAAAGGTAAACCTCAAATTAATTGATCAGTTTATGTTTGATATAACTGACTGATGTGACTTATTTGATGATTTATTTGGCTCACTTCCTGAGAAAGCTCGTGATGAGCTTAATTGAAATGGAAATGGAATATTCGCTCACTCGGAGGGAGATTAGGTGAAAGAGTAGGAAGAATTGGTATATAATTGATTATTCCCGTATTTGAGGAGGTAGAAAGATAGTATATGGACTAGGTTATGGTTAAAACACGATATTGGTTTAATGAGTGAGTTGGTACGCGCTGCTAACGTTCACATCTTTGGAACCGTGATTCTATTTGGTGGTATAAGTCCTGAGCTCATAGGTCTGTTCTTCTCTGCTAAACAGTCACGGTCCGTTCCTATTATTCTGTCCTTTGTATCACTGATACCACCAAAACAGTTAAACAGTTCAGCGTACTCAGAATTGGATTTTTATATGACCATGGGAATGCTGACTACGGGGTCCTTATGACACCATGGCACTGCTGATGCAATGTCTGGGTGACAGCAAAGAGAGACGATCTTTCTCGTTCTCATCATCCATCATTGTATTTCCATTTAATATATTTTATTGCAAAAACCCTTAAACCCAGATAATTTCGAATCCTGCCAATTGCGAAATCCTGAAGAAAAATTCAGAAACTTTGCAACAAACGAATGTATTGGAAAATATGAGATACACACAAAACTCGAAATCTACCGGATATCTTGAAAATTCCTTCAAAGTTGCGGGATGAAATTCAAAAAAATAAATTGAAAAATAAGGTCGATTGGATTTTCATGTTTTCTTTCATTTTCACCAAGTTTTGGCATTCTATCGCGATTGCCTTCGAATTTTCAAGATATTCAAGGGATGTTCACGTTTCCGATGCCTTAAGTTGTTTTTATTTATTTTTTCATAACTTCTGCATTTCTTTAATTTCTTATATCGCCTGACTTTTATCAAGTTTTACAATTGAAATGCTCTAAGAAGTACAGATTTTTTATTTCTGTTGAAAGTTTTTTTTTCATTTTTCGACTGAAAATGACCAAAGTTCTGGTGAAGAAATTTGAAAAAAATGTTTCTGAAAGGCAGGCTGAGAGAATCTAGAATCACTTCAAACGTAAAAATTGTATATCGCCCTAAAAAGTCCTTTTTATACATTTTTATATGATGTTAAATTAGTAGCGAAGCGTAAAACACAAAGCCGGACCTGGTATTTTATAACCGGAAGTCCGTAATTTACGTAATTTAGCAGGTCGAAAGTTTTCATTTACGTTTCGAAAGTTGTATTTTACCAATTCCTCCCAGTATACCTACCCGGTACTCCAGTCTAATTCACTATACCCCCTCTAACTAATTTATAATTAACTTCACAAACTATCAGTTTATTTGTCTACGATGATAAATTTTTTCATTATCGGTACTGACACCTGCGCTACATGGGATGTTTTGTTGATAGAGCCAGCACGCTAAATGACGAGGCCAAAGAGGTTCTCCCCTTCTTGTCTAAGATTTGTTTGAAATTTCGGTAAGCAGTACATATCAGCCTGGATAATATAACTAAGCGCAATTGAGTAAAAAATGGGCTGGATTAATTTAGGCGAACTTGAAAGGGGAGACCAGATGATATTTTGTTTGTGTGGTTCATATATGGCAGCCGCGTGCCGGTCGCAAACTCTGGGCAATACTAAGGCGTGGTGAGGTTTCTCGTACGTCACCATACTTTAAATCGACTATAACCGGATTTTTATAAATTACTAGAATCATTTGTCATCCACCTATCCGAACATCAAAAAATACTAATTTTATGTCTCGAAGGGAGCAATTAATTTAATGTAACCATGCACAATTAGAGACAATTCCTACGTGTTGTGCGAAAAAAGCACCCAAATTTTGAAATTATTACGCATGGTCATATAGTTAATCGCTTAATTTACCACTTTCGAACTGTGTTCATAAGCCAAGTACTATCTTTTAGATATTGATGCACCTCTTCAATCAAGCGGACCAGATGAATAATGGATCTAATAAGGAGCAAGCGTTTATCGGTATTCACGATCTATTTGCGGAAGATGAATGGGTAACAGTTCTGGGTGATTCACTTTATAAACATGGATACAGCCGATGGAGCCACTTGTGGGGTGGACAGCCAGATAATGGAGGTGGTGTGCAACACTGTGGTACTATTTTGAGAATGGGAGGCATGGATGACGTAAATTGTAACTTACAATTTCCATTTTTTTGTGAAATACCGAATATTTCAATGATCCACTAAATCGTTTGTATCATTTAATATTTTGGAACAATTCATTCATGCAATTATAGATATTATGAAAGTCTGGTCTATGTAATTTACATTAACTATTTCATTGACATGATTTTATCGGGCTGATATTTCTATCCCAGACAACGATATTTTGACGCATCTCATCTTGAGGTAGTACTCCTCTATGGTGAAGCAACGTTGAGATTTTGATGAAAATTGATTCACAGATAGATTTTAATGCAAAAATGACTCAGTTAAATTTTTGGAAGTCTGGATGGGCGAGAACAATAGTTATTAATTTTATTATTTTTCGACGATTAACATTGAGTCTTATGGCAATTCACGGTTTTTTTCTCGTTTTGAAAATTCCAACGAGTTTTCCATGAAATTTTTTGAGCTATATGTACAGATGTTAAAAAATATTTTGTGCGTTGAAAAATGTTGATGCGCTGTAAATGTTGAAATTAATCAATTGAGTGTAAAATCAATCGATAAGGTAACAACGCTACTCAGGTTAGGTGAGCTCTCATTATAATAACACAACACACTCATGGAAACGCCTCACACCGGCTTGCATGCCGTTGAGCAATATCATCAAGCCAAATTACCGCGCTAAACAAAGTCAACAAACTCAATCAGTACTCTAGCTTGATAAGCAGTCCGTCCAGTTCGTCTCTCATTTTTTCCCAAATTCTCCAGTAAAAATCAAGTAAATGACACTCCAGCCCACGATTACGTGATTAGTCACGTAATTTTTCCTGTGTTTTTCTCTTCGTGTAGATTCAGTGAGTGTACCCTAAACGGGATGAACTTAGTATTATCTTCGAATGTCTGATTTACGAAATTAGTCGTTCCAGCAATGGCATATTTTTCAGTTTATTGAACATCACTTATTTGTAAATTGCCAAATGCGAGGATGTTTACCAAACCGTTGTCCTAGAACTCGATGGTAACTTTCGATTGGATTGTTTGTACGATTTTGTTGACGATAGACCGAAAATTTAGGGACACTGTTGAGTTAACCACGTCGTTCGAAAATATATTGTGAAAGTTGAAAAAAAACTCGAACACATCTACTGCACTATTGAGAAGTAGCCACTCAAAAGCTCCACAAATTTCTCGCTCAGGGAGTAAACTAAGTGATATTACTTGATTACTATGAATACTTGCCGTAGGTCCCAATTGGTCAATGTCTGATTGAAGGCCTTTCCTTTTCGTTTCAACCACTTGATGAGCGCCTGGAATGAAATTATTATTATATAAAAATAGGTCAAAAGCTTTTTCAAGTCCAATTGAAACTGCTCGTTCAATCTGAGACTGAACGTAGAAAAATAATGATGTAAGAGAAAGTATTCGACTGTATTTTATGTTCATCTTTTTTTTGTCATTAATAAATTGCAGGCTTGTTGCGCATATTTTTTGCAGGATATTTTTCTGTATTGAATGGAATGAATCTTTTAAGAGATCAAGTGGATCCTTTTGTGCAAACGTGTGAGTGTGTACAAGAAGTTTTTATGAAAAAAATGAATAAAAATATTTCAAAAATTACCCACGAATAGGTATAGTCATTTTTCTGGTGATAGCAGATGGCATTTTTTAAAAAGAAAATTATGGGTGTCAGCTCGATAGTTTTTGACATATTTGTGAAAATACATTTACTAAGGAGTTATGACTTCGTAAATTACTGAATCGATCTGGTTGAATCTAGATAAGGAGTCAGCAATCATTAGCACCAGCTGCAATCTAGAAAAATTTTAAATTTTCTTAATATCATTTTAGACATTTAATTATTAGATTAGCTAGAGATTTACTAGAGGTGGAACATGCGAATAGATTGACAGGATTTCGAAACTTCACATTTTTATCATTCAGGCCATTGATGGTTCCAAAACAATATTGGAGAAATTGACAATTGAATAATTGTGAGGCTTTCATTTGAACTGAAGAAAAAAATCTATTTAAATTCATTTGGTTATAAAATTCAACGAAATTAAAACTATTGAATTGCAACTTATAAACAGATGAGGCGGACGGTTTTCCGCGCGTCATCGTTTCATCGACCTCTATATCGATACAAAAGTCTGGATGCTAGCTGCCACAGGATGCCTGCATCAAATCATACATGAATGAACGCTACTTCAATAGAGTCATTCCGGTCAATACTTTACGAAGATTTTTGACAGTAAAAGGTTCCATTTTACTTTCTCAATTCATTAGTGAAATAAAAAAGAATGGCGGAACTTAAGTTTACAATCTTTTTTTAACCACTTGCAGTTGCTTAATAATCGAAACTAGCAATATCACTCTGCTTAGAAATCATTCAGTGTTGCGTGCCCTATATGAAGCACTTGAAATTATTAGCAATATTTGCAGGATAAAATGCCTTCTACTTACAGTGAGGCCATACGATCATATACTGTTCGACAATTGTCCTCTGTGGAAACGACTCCAGCCTATAAATGATTTTAAAAATTTTCGGAGTTTATTATATTCACCGGTGGCGGGTGAGAATGGAATTTGGTTAAAATCATTCTTCCATCAACAATGGAAGAATGCACGCTCTTGCACAGCAACTCCAATTTGACTGTTCACAGCACACCCAATAGCTATTCAACAAAAGAATAACATTAATTGAGATCATGATGGGTCTATGAAAATCCATTAAAAAATAGGAGAGCCCGGGGTGAAATGGACATCTGATAAATTCGAATATGTGTGGTGTAAAATGGACAGCCAAAAAATTGGAAAAAAATGTCGAATTTTGTAATTCAAATTTTTTCAAACTGTTTTAGAACAAAATGGACAAAATGGACTTGATCAATCAGTGGATGATTTAAGAAAAAAATAGTTACTTGAAAAATACTAGGGATAAATTTTTTTTTCTTCCAAAATTGCCTGATGTTAACGTTATTGCAGTTCTCACCTCCAAAATAAAATTGTGACTGTATCGATACGCTTTCGTGACATTATTGAAAGTTGGGGTCCATTTCACAACCATCCTCTCTTATATGAACTAAGATTTATAACTCGAAATATTGGAACAAGAGGTAGATGTATAGTATCTCAGTTTGCTGAATTTAAAAAAGTGAAAAGACGATATGTGTCCATCATGAGTGAATTTAATCGTTATGACTCGTATTTATGTTATTCTTCCAGTTAAAGAACCATTATTTATACGATATCACATTGAAAACTAATCAACACGCTTTCAGTTTCCCAAAACCTCTTCGTGATATTTTTTAATTTTTTTTTTGTGCTCATTATTAAACAATAGAGGCGCTGAAGTATAGCATAACTTTGTCGACCTCTGTCATGGACATCACTCATTCAATTAAAAAAAAATTCACATTTTTAAAATTGAAAAATCTTTCCATGACTATTCTAATTTTTTTTCCAACGTTTCACCTGCAGTATGTTATTAATCGAATATTCTATTTTATAATCTAAATTGCTGGAAACACCATTGCAAAGAGAGAATACTTTATTCAGGAGGGCAATATCTATGTATAAATGTATGTTATGATAACAAAAAAATCTATTATCATCTTTCCAATCATCTGTTTGTAAGTTTATTTTATTCATTTTTTCAAATTTTGAGATTAATAGAACTTTAGCGTATTATACTATGTACAATATTTAAATTATTTACGATATTTACAATAGATAAAGTCGAGCTTTCTTCTGGTGGAACATTAATTTCATTCGCCTTAGAATCATTGCAATAAAATTTTGCTTAAGGTCAATGAAAGTATCGTAAGCAAAGGTCGCTTTTAAAAATACAATCGTCTTTACTCACTTTCTCTTCATCCACCACAAGATAATTTAAACACAAAAATTCTGCCCATCGCTTGCATTTTCCGCATTGTACCTAAGTTTGTATTTCTCCAGCGTGGACTCATCTGCCCGACAATACAAACACAGGTCTTTTACGTCTGAAGACTTTTCAAGACAACTCTGTTTAATGATTTTTGGCATTTCGTCTGGATTGAAAGAATTCATCTGATAGAGTCTGTGCAGCCATAAACTTTATGACTTGGGACAATTCCGCCTAATGGAGGTCGGGAGCTGGAGTAGCTCCGAGAGCTGAGGTTGTCCACCTCTGTGATAGACATTGCCAGCCAAAATCTCCTGTATAAAATACAGCACAAAAATCCTACAATCATATCCGCCAACTTGCTTGGGATAAGGCGGTACTTCCATTGTTCAGGTGATTTTCAGAGTGGGAAAGACCTAGAAGATCCAGTGATAGATATATTTACCTTGATAAAAATGTTTAGAGCTAGTTTCAATGCCTGTGTTACAAACTACTTTTTGGTAGCAGTCGATGATATTATTCATAAATGACTTGTCCCTCTTGTTCGTAGTTTTTTTTTTGCAGAATGAAGGAAGTAAACACTCGAATTTTTAACATCAGCACACAGTAATACCCAGTGATTGCTATCAACATTCAGGGGGAAAAAATGAAATTGCCGGCAAAAGTGTGTCGACAGTGGTTTTCCACCCATTGTCTTCCTTGAGGCAATAAACAAACTGACTTCACATGAAACATACGCTACGCTTTGACTTCCCTGAAAGGATTTTATCAACAACGTTACCGAATAATCAATCATGTAATTACCGAGCCAGCTACCGTCGAATAGCGTGGAGTAATCCTCAGATCGGATGATCACATCTTTGGTGGAATCATTTAGGGCACTTGTAACAACAATCAAAAATATTCGTGGTGGTGCAGAGGAACGGTAAAAATCAGGATTGTTCATTGTGTGATTGGTGTTGAATTTTAAAGTCCCCTGAACCTGCCTCTCTACAATTTTTTTTAATGCTGTTCCTTGAAGATGGGTTTCCCTCGGTTTCTTTGGTTGAGAACGTCGCTACGTCGTCCACATCGCTAGTATTCCTCTGATGCCTCATTGTCTACCTCATTAATCCTTTTCTGCCTACGATTTTTGCAAACTTTTGGAGCTTGCAATTCAAGTTGAGAGGCAACTGCTAGAACGTGGTCATGAGCTTTAGCAATGAACCTCGAGGCCTTTAAATTTACCTCGTTCTCGATTTTCGTGATTTTAAAATGATTTTCGGCAAAAGTATTGACGAGGTGCTTCTCATTCAGGCTCAGAAGAATCTACCAGACAGAGGCGTATGGAAGCATCTCTTTTATGAGGTATTCTGAGAATTCTACACATCCATAGTCATTGTTTAACTCGTGCTATTTTGACTTTGCAATATTCCTCCTCACGTTTTCACGAATGCAATTGAAATACTGGTAGAAAAGGCTCTCCTTATACATCGCTCCATTTTCGTGATCTGAATCATCCTCAGTTTCAGGTTTCATAACAACAAGAGTTCTGCTGATCTCTTTGCGATGAAAATCAGCAGTTGATGAGAGTTTCATAAAGGCTTCAGTTACTTCCACGGTTTGAATTTGAGCTTCCAGAATCGTAAATAAAGCGTAAACATTAGTATCTCTTGAAATGTGCTCAATATGAGAAATTACAGCAATACCTCCCAAGTACAATTTGATTTTTTTGCCACTACTTTTCTTAGCATGTAGCCATTTTGATATCATTTTCATAAAATGAGCAGAGCATAAGAAGTGACCAATAACGTGAGCTGGTACAGGAATATTATTCTGGATCTCATTATAGCCAGGGTGAGGGTATTGCAAAACCGTGATGTTATTCCAGGCTCTCATTAGCGCATTAATGCTGGCCCATAACCAGTCAGTAACGCACTTATCGAATGGAGGCCATGACACCGGTTATCTTTCCAATATTTTCTGATGAATTCGAAATAATTTCGAATTGAGGGAGTGGTATCGTCATTTGTTATGCATTCGACGAGGCGGAAAAGTTTCCCACTAATATTAACAACACCGGAATAATAATAATCTCTTTTGGAACGAGGAAATGGTTTTCTGACCACAGAACCCATCGCATCAAAGAATAATGTCAACTTCGAATACATTTTGGAAAAGGAGATCTGTTCTTGACAGCCTAAATAAATTTTGCAAGGTGCCAAGAATTGTCGAATGCAGGGGTGTTTATCATTTGCGTTAGCAATGCTCTGTAACGCTTTTCCCGGGTGCAGATCTTTTCCTTTGGCGATCCATTTCCACACCCGTAGCACCCTAGCCCTATATTTTCTATCGTCGTCACCTTTAATTCCACGTCAGGCGCCACGTGGCTTTTGTAACCCAGTGTCAACCCTGGGCGAGACCGGGCTTTTAACCTGCGTCTCGACGAAAATATTAAGACCACGTTTTTGGTATTTACCAGGTTCGCTGACTGGCCCCTTGATGCTCCCACTTACCCCTGTACTGCGTTTTGCCAGATTCGTTAACTGTTCCTCCGGGGGGTGCGGTGCTAGGATGGGGCTACGTGCCTGCGCTGCCCAGTATGTTGGTTTTGGAGAGAGAACGGGGTCCGGGGATTTACTCGACTTCGCGTGAGGCTTTTTATTTCCTCCACTCACTTGGCCAGGCGTTGTAGCACACTCCCACTCTCACACTATTCTTCCATCCCCTGTCTTCATTAATTCCCCCTAATTAC